AATATGATATCTTATTATTTGTTTTATTTTGTTGATTATTTAGAGTCCAGTTCAAGATGTTGAAACTATATTGGACCACTTGGCAAGGTTATTAATTATTAGAATTCAATTATTTTTAATTATCTTTACGCACTATTTTCTTATGGTGGAATTCCTTCACTTTGAACTATAATATTTGTTGTATTTAAAACTAGCTTTAGCACATTTATCCAAATTTTTCATTCCAATGTCTTCACTGAAAATTTGTTTTGTCATTTATACAATTTTAAGTCATCCATGTGTTATGGTTTATTTTCTTTTTGAGCTGTTTTGCTGTTTTGTTTGGTTATTGTTTTATGCGACAAAGAGTTTAAATTTTTTTGATGTTTATTTCGCTATTATTTTATATTGAGGTAATTTCTTCTGTTAATTTTTGATTGTATTTGTACATCAAAGACTTTAAGATCCAGGAATTGGTACACTTCTACTTTACGTTTCTTCGTTTTCAGGATCAATTAATTATTGGTCTTAACCGTAGCATAGTTTGCACCTTTTTTGTTCAAGTGGTAGTATGTCATTTTTTTCTTGCTGTTAAAATAGATGAACAGTTTGTATGTTCTTGGAAGACATGTAATTGGTCTATAGTTTTCGTTTTGTAATTTTTTGATGTAACTCCTTTGGTCATCCATGCAGGAATTTTAGTTGTTAATGTTCTTTGGCCTTTTTAAATAATTTTAGAATTTTATCTGAACTTTTTTCTACATATTCCTTCCCCCATGTCTGTTCTGGTTTATTTTTCATTCGTTCTAACTGTCAAGTTTGTTTTTTTTCCCCAGAACTATAACTTCTTCCATTTTAGGCTGTCATCTTTGTTTACCTATTTCCAAAAATTTCTTTGAAAAAAGATCTTGCTGTCTATAGAAATCTTTTCTCGTAGATTCTTTGAATTGAATTCATTTTCGATATTGTATTTTCTTTCGAGGTTCTTAAATTTTATGGATTTCATCATAATAATTCATCAGTTAATTTCTTTTTCTATTTTTCTTTTCCAATTTATTTTGTTCAGTTTATTTGTTCTGTCTGACGCCATTGAGATTTATATTCTTCTTCATCCAGAATCAATTTGAGTGCTGCATTATAGAGCTTATTTTTCCTTTTTGGTTGTAATTTTGGGAGTTGTAATCTGCATATGGCTCATTTTCATCCTTGGCTTCTTGTATAAATAATTCTGAAATTCTGTTCGATGAAAACTTGTTTTATTATCTTGTGACACTAAGATCATACCTTTCCAACATTTCTAAATTTTCAGCATTATCTTCGTGATTTGTGTGTATTTCGGTTTTTCATTATGACAATATGTTATTACGATTCCGGTTCCTTTTCATGTTTTGTTGGTTCATCTATTTTGTTGCAATTCTTTTTTATTTCATTAATTTCAGACTCTGTCAATCAGTTATTTCCTTAATGTTTTACATTGGCTAGTTTATTTTTGTCTTGTTTGCCCAACCTTCTCTCGCCAAATGTCATATGTTTGGCAAAATGTTCTAAAACCTTCATGGAATGCAGTCCTGATCAAATATTTTATTTTTCGATTTAATTTAGAATACAGGACCATCATTAGGATTATCCTGGGTGTAACCTGAAGGAGTTTGTTCCTATGGCAGATTTTTCGACCTCAGGTTTCCCTCCTGAAGGACGGGCTCCTGTTTATCCACTGGAAGAGCCATACTTTTTGTTTCTATTTTTAATTTTCACATCTATTCTAAAGTCCACCCAAAGTTGCCCGGCACGTTGAGTAACGGTCTTTTACAGACAGGGTTCCCGAAGCCTGTAGGGGATCGTTCGCGACCTCATAACGCAGTAGCCATTCCTCCTCGGCATTATTTGACAGGGTTGTTGTTCGAGTTTCCTTCTCCTAAATATATCAAAGAGAATGACGCTAAAAAAAAAAAAAAAAAAAAAAAAAAAAAGTTTACATTCGTTTGTCTTTGCTGTGAAATTTAAAAATTTTATTGGCCCATCTGTAAATTCCATGATATTCCTTCTAGAAAGATCGCATTTTCTTTTCATAAATTCATAAAATGTAATATGCACGTTGAAAATAGAAAAAAAAAAAAAAAAAAAAAGTTTACATTCGTTTGTCTTTGCTGTGAAATTTAAAAATAATTTATTGGCCCATCTGTATTTCTTCTTAAGAAAGATTGCATTTTCTTTTCATAAATTCATAAAATGTAATATGTAAATTTTCCGTTAATATTATTTTAAAAAAAAAAAAAATGCAATCCTTCTACCGTAGAAATTGTATTGTTTTTTACCTGTAATGTTTTTGGGGTGGAAAAAACAAAGGAAAATTATTTAAAGGAGAACCAAATAAATTAAATAATAATAATACGAAGAAAAAATTCATGCTTACGCTAAAATAGTAAAAATCAAAATTTCATATGCGTTAAAAAAACTTGGAAAAACAGCCGCTCAACGAAAACAAAACATCACTACACTAGATCTGAATTGATGTTTTTTTTTTTTTTTGTCCAGAAAAAATATGTCAAGTTTTTCTTCAAATTTAAGAATAATTTTTATTTTCTTAAGATGCAATGATGATAAATATCATGCGATATTAATTTGCTTATTACTTTGCGTGTCGCACATATAAAAACGTGGCAGCCTAATTTCTCTTGAGGTTAATGGTCGAATATTTATATATACGTACAAATAAACATCGACCACAATATATTATTTTACAGTTTATCGTGCAATCTAAAGCTTTTTTAAATAAAATGGAATTAACCCGTTTATGTTGGCAGCATTTTCAGGTTATATTTTAACATTATATTGCAAATATACCATGCGAATTCTAGTTCTTATACATTTTTTTATAATCCATATTTATTCTTCCTTTTTGGTGACTTATGCATTAGTGTTGAAATGACAAAACTTGAATTGCAGCGTTAAAACAATAATAGTAGTTCATCATATTGATTAATAGAATAAGTGAAATGAAAGCGCCTACACATGTGCATACACACACGCACACAGACACACACACACACACACACACACACACATATATATATTATGTTTATTTTCAAATATATAGATATTGTCATAAGGTGTAAGATAAAGAGAATTAACGATTGTTGAAAACACAAATTTACAGATTACGAAAAAGAACAGAGAGCTCTAACACTAAAAAATTCAAGACTTTGAGTAGATAAGAGGAAAAAGGAATAAAAAAAGGCTGTAAGTGATTATTTAACAAATTAAAATTTTAATAAGAAAGTTATTTGAACTGCAAGAAAATATTTGAAGCTTAGAGTGACGAAAATGGAAGTAGAATAAATAATTCAGAATCTTGAGAAAATTAGTTAAACCCGTGAGATCAATGAAAGTATTAGCTTCAAACTTCTAAAACATAAAGACGGACGTGTAAGTTGTGCAAAGTAGTAGAAGAAAATTGATTATTCTGATGAATGCAGACTTACATTTGATAGAGCAGATAATTGGGCTAGTCAAAAATTAAGACTTTGGAAGAGACGGAAAGGCGTGAGCTTTTATTGGAGGAATTAAAATTATAAATTTTGTCGTTGGTAACGGAGCCAAAAGAAAAATGTAGAAAATGATTGTAATCTTTTGGACAAGAGGTTTTTGTGTGTTAAAAATCGCAACCATGTATATCTAGGCTAAAAGATTTTATTTATGCAAGAACATACGCCATCTAATTCTGCAAAGTGCGCTAATAACCACTTTGCCATAAAAATGATTTAAATAAACCACATTAAAAGAAATACCAATCTGTATATCTGTCCAAAAAATAACTTGTAAGATAACATCAAATGATGCATTTTTAAATCATTTATATAAGTATGGAAAACCACTAACAAGCAGAGAAGTTATCGGGGAATCATAAAAAAAACAGGTACAAGTAATATTAAATTTCAAACAGTAGAAATGTTGACAAAATGTAAGTCATAAAGAGATAGTAAAATCACACTTTATGGTCATCATGAAATATCGGCATATTTCTATAAAATATCCATGCAAACAAACACTTATATCTAAACAAAATAAGCAAATGAATTCACTATGTTTTCTTTTTTAATGTAACACAAATGATGTGCAACTGAGATGAATGAGAGGATAAAAATCGCGATATTGACTATCTAACAGTTTATTCATTTAATTGAAGAGACCATACAAACGGTAACAAAATATTCGTGTAACAATCTTGTTTAATACACAATGGATTTTAAAACTAAATTTAGTAATACTATGACTTGTTTCTCTTCCTAGGAAGTCATCTCTAAAGGAATAAGAATCATCAACGCATGTTATTCTATCCATTAAACGCGTTATTTGATGTTGAAAGAGATCTAATATTTGTCTTCTTTGGTTTTTATATTAAATCAATGCTGATGCCCTATTTTACTATACACGCTCGAGCGTGCACCCACTCACAAAAAGCCACACACATATAATATAATATATATGCGTATGTGTGTATATTTGTGTGTGTGCGCGCGCGTATGAGCGTGCTGTAAAAATGTTTAAAATATACTATATATATATATATATATATATATATATATATATATATATATATATGGAGAATCTGTGCTCGGTTTGAAAGAGAAGGAGAGTATTTGTAGGTCGAAATTAACCCAGCGTGATATCTATCAGTTCCACGTTTTAAGCGATCACCAGAGAGTGTAATAAATATATCTATTCGACAAAGGGTTGCTATGGTAGACGTCAATGATAACAAATCTCTAACTTTTTAAATAAAGGCAAGTGTAGTTTCGGGCTGCTTAATCTTCTATTGGACAATACACCCATGACAGATTATTTTAAGGCGAATCTAAAACATAGCATCATATCTCGCATAAGCAGACAACATTAGTTAGCAACTAGCGCCATTACTACTATCATCTACTTCCCAAACTCTGACCTTTAGTCCCTAAGAACCAAAATCAGACAAAAGCAAGAAAAGAAATAAGCAGTGGTCATTCTCCCTCTACCACGTGATGGACATCATAAATCCATCCTGTCGCTCACTAGACCCACGTAAAAGCTATCCTTTTCAGACACGCCACATTTACCCTTTGCCGCTATCTCTTCTTTATATCCCTTCCTTTTTCAGTTAATTCAGAATAATCTTTCTCCAATTCTTTTGTGTTTTTTTCTCTATTTTACATTTCAGAAGACTTTTTTCTCTTTCAGTACAACTTATGTTTTCATCATTTTCAACGTTTTCTATTTCAATCTTTTTCTCCTTTCCTTTCTTTCAATTTTTCTTTCTATTTCATTTTAACTCCGTTCCTATCATCTGAATTATTTTCATTACGCCTTATTTTTTCTCTTTTTTTTCTCTTTCTTTTCTCAAACAAAACACTTCGTCCTCATTATCCCACCATCTCATCAACTCCTACTATCACTACTAACGCCACCATTATTGTTTCCTCACCAAGACGAAGTCAGACATTTTTATTACCACCCTCATCACTCCACAACGCAAAAGCAGGACACTGCTATATTTTCCCTTCATGATTACAGAGAGACATCATCAATCCAGCGAACAAACAGTAAACTTGTCCGAGGAGAGCGCTATCGGAAAAAAAACCCTCCAACCCTAACCAACCCTGACCACAGCAGTCGGCCACAAACCGCCGCGGTGAGCCGCAAGTCCTAAGAGCCATTGCTATTGACAATCGAAGCGGCAGCAGCCGTCTCCATTAATAGCCAGGCGTTAATCGACAGCTCTGGAGTTTCTAACCGTGCTTCCTTTGCACATTGTAAGTCTCACTGGGAGCATGGCAGTGTTTAGTGATGACAGAAGCCACATCAAAGTATATTTTGGCATTTGCAGTTGTCTTTTATTTTATTTCTTTGGTAGTGTAGGGCGTATAGAATAAGAAGCAAGTTAGGTGGAATAGAAGGAAGAGAAAGAATAATGAAAATGGGACCAAGAATATTCATGGAGAACAAAACCCATCCCCCAATACAGAGCAAAGACATGAAATTGAAGAACAACTCAGAATATGTGAGGGTTTGATTGATTCTGATGGAAAATAAAGAAACAACAAAGAAAGGATTGATGGTTATTTGGATAAAGACCAAACAATAGATGAGATGGAAAATAAGTAAGAATAGATTAAAGGTTTAATAAATGATTTAAAGAGCTGAATATAAAAGAATTAAAAAAGATCACAGAGTAAGTAAAATTGTAGATCTGATAGAAGAATCAAAATAAATTGGAAGATATCGAAGAGAGAAATTCAAAGGTGGACTTTAAAATATCTAATAAATATCACTTGATTCTAATGATAAAAAATATGTATGAATGAAAAAATCATGAAACACATGATTTAAACGGGAATTTTTTTTATAAATGATTTGATGGCAATTGTTCGGATGAGCTGTTCGCAATGGTACATAGACTTTTTGATTATAAGCGCAGTACTAAACTGGCGTCGAGATCTCATCAATTTACAGTTTTACTGGCTAGACGTAACCGTATATTTTATGTTAGCAGTTTCTTTTCTTGCACTTCTTGCTTTTGGATGTTCCGTCCGGTTCCATGGTTTACACCAAACATTAATCTGCAAAAGTTTAAATGCAATGACAATCTCTATCTACTGCCATACTGATTACTCTTATAACTCATTATTAATGTTTTTGTTCCTAATTCTTCCACGCCCTGTAACCCATTGTGTCTTAGTGGTCCTACTGCCTTATCTGGGATGACATCGATTAAAAAAATTCAACACCGCCTTTCTGAAAATGCCAAAGGGCTAAATAAATATATTTTGTGACGTACGCTGGCCGTTAATAATTAAGTATAACTCAAAACTTCAATGTTAAATAAAACAGTATATAATTACAACCACAAATAAATACTTAACAAGAACAAAGAAGTAAAAGCCAACCAAAGATAATTAGATATTTTCATTGAATACCTTGTTAGTGGCACGGCTCGGCTTAACGTCGGGTAAATCCTAAATCAAAACCCAAACGATCGATGTACAATAATTCGCACTAATTCGACTGGATATTTCCACTCAATAGTCACTCAATATCACTGCAGTCAGTAGCCTGACACCGCTTTTTATACACCAGGCAGAAAACATATAATCATAAGTCCAGAGTGTCACGCTCGAACCTCGGTGTTGGTAGTTTATTTTCTTCCTATATGAGAATATTTTGCATATAAAGACGAAATGAAACAAATTCTAAATAAATACACGAGGCGTAGCAAAAGAAGCATAATTATGTCAAGTGTAGATGATTTCTCTTTTGATAACATTTTAAGGATAATTCTTTTTGATATCTTCCTATTAAAAATTATATACACTTTCATTATTCTTTTTCTTCCTTTAAAGAATTGTTTTGGCTTCCATCAGCATGGCTGATGCTAACATCAAGGAGAGTGGAAAGTTTAGATTGAATCAATTGCTAAGTCTGTTGCTTGGAAAGTTGGTTCAAAATGTCTTGCAAAGACAATTTCTATCGACAGAAACTATCTTACACATTTATAAGTCTATCATATGTATCCATGCATAGAAGATTACTCTCACATCTGGTCTGGTGTTTCTGCTATTGTATTTCGAGATCCTCGATAAAATGTAAAGAAGAATTTGCAATGTTATAAATTCGATACAAAAGCATAGATAAAACAATATTAGGTACGTGATAGGGTGAACAATGCATAAAAAAAATGAATTCATATAAGAATAAAAGTTGTGGAGAGAAATAAAGTTGGCAAAATGAACTTAAATGGTCGATTAGGGAAAGAGTAAATGCTAAATTGTAAAAAAAGAAAGGAAATCCAAGAATTCTATGTTTAGCAGATTTGTTGTAGAGTTGATAATAAGAGAAATTGTGAAAGATAAATATCTGGGAATTAAAATGAAAAATAAGAAATGAATAAGAAAGTAAAGTTTAAAAATACAAATCAAAAAGCGAAAACTACAATAAAGGACAGATACTGGATTTTAAATAAAACCTGGAAAGACAAACAAACAGGCAGTAAGAAAAGAAATCTTAGATGTAAAATTACGTGATGGTGAAGAATCCTTTATTGACTTGTAAAATGTTACATTAATCTGGTATTAAGTTAGTAAAATCTTCGTATAAAAATGCAATTTATATTTAAAATCAAATTGTATTTTGCAAACTCTCCTGTAGGTTCATGACAAAATAGCCACTTTGTTTTGATTAAAACCCATGACCAAAGGAAAAATGTGTTTCAGTCATTTTCGTGTACGAATTTCGTAGAAGAATAATTTCCCGAAGTAGAATACGTTTATATTTAGTAAAATACGTATAACCTACATGTCTATTTCCTGTTCTCTATCACACTCTATCCATTCCTCTATTTGTATGTGTCGCTTTCTCTTCTATTTGCATGCGTATGCGTAGAAAAATCTTAAAAGGACTGATAATGAAGCCAATCTCAAGAAAGTTCTTATTGAAGAGTTTCTTTACCCTGTCTCTTGTTTATTTAATTACTTTATTTATTTCACACGATATATATTTTAACATGTAAGAGCAGTGCTGAAAAGTCTTAGACACTTCTGTCCATATGACTAAATGAATATGAATGATTCGGGCTTTTTTTTATCCTTTGTTGATCTAGCCGAGATCTTGCCATTTACAAAATGAATAAAAACCATTCAGTTTCTTTCAATTGTTAAGGACATATCTGAACTAGTAACCAATCTTGTATTCTTACATAAAAAAAATGAAAATGTAAGAAATGCTAATAGAATATAAATAAACGAGGAAAAAGGAATTAATAATGTCCAATATATTGATTTATTGATTTTTATCGTTATATACTAGCTGATTACTTTTGGTAAGACAGTTGTGCTCAATTCAGGTTTTCACTGATGCTTGTTGAAATAAATATTTTCCAAAATTTATTTATTTTTCGTTTTAAATATTTCTTTGTTAATTACGAAATTCATATGATTTTTATACGAAAAATATCAAATTCTGATAAATAAATTATATAATGTAAATGAAGATGTCCGTATTATAAAAATAAATCAGTTTCACACGTCCTCTTATATTTAAGATTATATTATAAACTTGAAAAATAGGAAAAGACTTGAGAAACCGACTATCTTTTAAATCAAATTTAGATTCTGTAGAAATATTGACAGTGATTCTCTTTAATCTCGTAAACAGAAGTTTAAACTACAGAAAAAATGTAGTTAATTGAAACGATGACCAAAGAGATATTTCTCGTTGCCCCATTTAGAATGGAACTTGCCAGGTTTCAGTACTTATATACAGTTAGATGAAAAGAAAACTACAACGAAATATAAAAAAAGAAAATATAAAATATAATGAGATGATATATATTGTTAAGAACGCAGATGATAAGTTTAGATAAAGAAAATGAAGATTATAGCTGGAAAATATTAGAGAAATCAAAAGTATGTTACAGTTTTTATGTATAAAACAATATAAAGCGAAAATAGATTAAAGTGGGATTATTTGGAACACAGTCGTCTGTAAAGGAGAATCAACGAAGTCAAAGCAGTAGCAAAGAGCCCAACACTACAGCAGAAAGAAAATGGATTTCAAGCTATTTAAGCATCACTGTGTTCATGGCCATTATACTGAGTATTATCATCAGCTATGGCATCACTTAGTGATTTCTATCATCTAATAAGGGTTTTGATCAGTACTCCCTTGCCTCAAGCGTTACCACAGGAAGACAGAAACAAAGTCTGTGGTTTGGATTTGAAAGTGAAAATTAGAGCCATTGTCAGGCGCGCCTTACATTTAACAGTTGATGCACTGACTGCTGAGATATTTTGAATTGGGATTGTGTCTGAGGGTTTGTCGAAGGAATAGGAGGTAGAATGTTAGTATTCAAAGAGATTGGTTGTTTAGGAGTTTTAAATTAGTGGTGAGATGAATGAAGAGACAGATTAAGAGAAGAGGAAGGAGAATATAAAGAAAAAGAAACTTTAACATGAACGTGAAGACACTCGTGAGACCGTAATGAGAAAAATGTTGAAGAGAAAGAGAGAGAGAGAGAGTACAGATGAGTGATTTAGGTGATAGAAAACGATTGAGACCACCAATTAGTAAAAGAAATGATTTTAAATAATAATGCAGAGTGTAAGATCAATTGATCACTATATAAATAAATATAAGTCGAGAGGAATTGAAAAATATAGGAAAGATGGAATGTGCTAGAAAATATGAAAGCAGAAGAAAGAGGAAAAATTAAGAGATTTTCAAGATAAATAACATTTTTATTCGACAGAAAAAAATTGAAATTGAACATAATCTGAATAATCAGAGATGTACACTTAAAACAAGGAAGTACTAAAGGAAATAGAGAAAGGCATATACAGAAGTAGAAAAAATGACGAAATGGTAAAGCTAAAGAAAACATAATATAAACAAAATGAAAGTATTATTTAGATGTTACCGATGGAGAAGAGTAAAAATAGAGAAGAGGAAGCAGCTAGGAAATTTAAAGAAAGATTTGAAAATAGGAAAACAATGCGTAATATAGAATAGAAGAA